CTGGCTCCCGGCACACGGGATTGACGCTGCCTGGATCCAACCCCTGGGTTGGGTTTCAGTGTGTGCCCTGCCCTGCTGCCACCCGAGATCCCCACAGACACTCGTGGTGCATCCCAAAGCCCTCTGGCTCTGTCCCTGTCACCGGAGCCAGCCCGGCCCCGTGCCAGGGACACCGGTTCGAGCTGAATCCCTCTGGAATGAGCCCCACCAGGCCCACCCTGAGGGTCTGGGTGCCCCACACACCACACTTGCTGCCCCCACCATCTCCCACATGGCTGGACTCACAGCAGAGCCCAGGATGCTGTACTGGGAGCCACCGGGAATCAAGCTGGAAGTGAATCCCAAGCCGCACACGGAGAGATCCCGGCACAGGCTCAGCGCTCCAGTACTTAAGGACTTAGAGGTTTCATGGCTGTAATTAACCTTAATCTTTAATTTATAGGGCATGGGGAGGCCAGGGGATGCTGCAGCTGCTTTGTTCAATTACCAACACAAGCCCTGGATCCCGGGATGGGATCCAGCGTCCCACAGTCCATGCAGTGCTTTGGGGGGGACACGGACACCCGACATCAGACCCTCGTGCCCCTGTGTCCCCTTCCTGCCCAGGGAGCACCTACACTGCCCATCTGTCACCCACACACTGCCTGTCCAGGGACCAGGTAGCGATAGGATCAGGACAGGTCACCCACCCAAGTGTCACTGTCCCCTCTGCCAGTCCTAGCCACGCTCCTCCTCACCAGCAAAACCATCCCACTCCCACCCGCCCCGTCGAGGGCTCCCTCAGAGAAATCTGGGCTTAAACCAGGCTGGAAAAGGCACACTCAGAGGCCAGGACATGGCACAGGGACACAGGTTGGATGGACCCTGGAGATGGCCTCGCACATCCCGTGAGTGGATGGCACCGGGGTTGTGCTGGCACAGCCGGGGTTCAGAGCTGCCCCTGTGGGGCATAAAGGGGTAAAATCCCTGGCAGGACTGGGAGGGAAGCTCCTACTCTTCACCCTGTCCTGGCCCTGCTGATTCCAGGGCAAATGTGCATCAGGACAGTGTGAAAAACCCCAAAGGCCTCAAAGCTGTGATGGGAATCACAGCGCAGCACGTGGCTGGCACCGTTCCGGCTGCTCCCGCCACCTCCCAGCTCTGGTGTCACCACAGAGAGCCAGGCAGCCACCTCTCCTCTCCGGGGGAAATTCTGGGTTGGCTGCCCTGGAGAGGGAAGGGGACCACAGGGACATCCCCAGGAGGATATCCCAGAATAACCCACCCCCAGGCACAGGGCACCAGGTCACACCGTGCCCCCCCCAGAGCCAGTGCCCCCCAGGCACAGCTGCCTCCCAGCCAGCAGGCACCAGAATCCTGCCCAAAATCCACAGCCCCTCGGACAGAGCCAGGCCAGCACGAGCAGCCAGGTGTGCACCTTCCTGAGCTTCCCAAAATCCGCTGGTTGGGCAGGAGATCGCACAAGGCAGCAGGAAGGGATCCCGTCTCCAGTGGGACACTGCACAGGGGCAGACCCCAGTGCCCCAGTGCCCCCAAACCCCTGGTGTCCATCCCCAAACCCCCTGTGTCCATTCACAGACCTGTGGAGTCTGTCCCTGGACCTCCAAGGTCCATCCCCAAACCTCCTGGGTCCATCCCCAGCCCCTGGGTGTCTCCAGCCCTGTTCCCACAGCTGCCTCCGGCTCCAGGTGCAGCGACACGCCGGGCAAAACTCTCGCTCCAGTGGCAGCAGTAGGAGGGGGATGGGGGTCACCTGCAATCCCCCGAACCACCTGTCCTCGGGCACAAGGATTTGGGGTGTCTGGGGACACGGCAGGTACCGCGCTGGGGTGGGACAGGCACCAGAAAGGGGCGCGGGGACCGGGACCGAGCCCGACCTTCGCTCTCCGGGACTCTGCTGACAACACAAATGGGGACCTGGCACGGGGGGACGGGGGGACCCCACACCGGGACCCTGAAGGGGCCCTGAAGGGACCCCATCTCGCCGCTCCGCCCCGCGGGGACCGGCACGGCGGGGGCTCCGTCCGCGGGGACAGCCCGGGAAGAGGAAGGAGCGGAGCACGTGGGGCACCCGCCGGTGTGTCCCGTGTCCCCGCGGGGCCGCCGCTCACGGCGCCGGGAAGCCCGAGCTCCCCGGGGCTCTGGGAGGCTCCGGTGCGGCGGCGGACCGGGACCACCGAGCCAGCCCCCGCGGAACCCGAAGCCCGTCCCGCTCCTTCCCCGCGGCCGGGGCAGCCCCGGGACGGCGGGACCGCACAACCCCCGGTCCCGGCACGGGGAGGGGGCCCGGGCGCTGCCCGCTCCAGCAGCCCCCGCCCGCAGGGGTCCCGGGGCCGCCGGGGGGAGCGGGACAACGGCGGCCGCCAGGAGGGGGCCCGGGGGCGCTGCCCGGGCGCGGGGGGACCCGGGCACCGGGACGGAAGGCGGGGAGCGGAGGGGCGTCTCGGAGGGGGAGCTGCGAGAGCCAGGGCGGCCCCGGGCACCGGTGGGGTCGCGGCCCCGGGGAGCGGCGGCGGGCAGAGCCATTACCATCTTGACGATGCCGCGCTGCACGGTGAGCGGCGGCGCGGAGCCGGCCTGTCCGGGGTTGGCCGCGGAGGCCATGTGGCGGCCGGGCGGGGTCGGGCTGGCGGGGTGGCTCGCTCGGTCGGTGCCGGTCGGACCGGGCGGGGGGAGCGCCGGGCCCGGGGCGAGCGCGGAAGGGACCGCGGGGCGGGGCCTGAGGGGGCGGGGTCTCCGCTCGGCCCCGCCCCGCGCGCGGCCCCCGGCCAACGGGAGGCCACCCCCGCGGAGCGCGCGGCCCCGCCCCCCCGAGCCTCGGCCAATGGCGGCGCGCGTGGCCCGCGAGGCGCGGGGCCGTGGGGCGGGGTGACGTCACGGCCCTCGGCCACGCCCCGCCCGGCGCACGGGGAGGGGGCGGGACTTCCGGGGCGCGCGGCGCCAGGGACACGTCGGCAAAGGGACCGCGCGCGCACGTGGCCTCGCGCCGGGGGCGGGGCCTGAGCGGCGCGCCCACTGACGTCGGGGGGGCGGGGTCTCGTGGGGAACGAGCGCCGTGACGTCACCGGCGGACACAGGGCTGGGATGGGGGATGCGGGATGGGGATACAGGGCGGGAGCCCGGAGCGAACCCCGGGACTCGGGGCACGGGGGGCACGCACAGCACTCCCGGCACGGCCCCCTGGCACGGCCCCAGGGCGGATCGGGGTGAGGGCGATCCCCCAGTGCAGCCCCACAGACCGACCGGGGGAAGGGGGATCCCCAGCACAGCCCCGGGGGGACGGTCAGTGAAAGGGGTTCCCCCGGAACAGCTCCGTGGAGGGTCGGCGGAAGGAGACACCCCCCACACCCTCAGCACGGCCCCATGGAGGGACTGGGGTCCCCCAGCGCCGGCCCGGGGAGGTTCAGGTGTGAGGGGTCCCCCAGTGCTGAGGGGGTGCTCGCAGTGTCCCACAGTGACTCCCACGGTGACCCCTGGAAGAGCCACGGGGACACCGGGGGCTCCCGGCCCCGCTCCCGGCCGGACACGGTGGGTTTGGGGGTAAAAGGGAGGAGAAAGGGACCCCCCTCCTTTGGGCAGCTCGGGGGGCAGTGCTGGGGACGGGCCCCGCTGCCCCGCGGGTCGCACTCGTCCTGCGCCCACCCCCCAAAACTAGCCCACGGACACCCGCACCCTGCCGGCGCCGTCCGCGTCCTGCGGGAACACCGGGGACACCGAGAACACCGGGGAGGAGGGTAGTGCCGGGCGAGGTCCGGCCCGGTGGCCTCCACCAGCCCGGGTCCCCCACGGTCACCGTGTCCTGGCAGCGGGGACACAACCCGGATGCGGCCCAGGATGTCCCTCCACTGGGGACACCGGCACGGTGCCACCACCCCTCTCCCGGGCAGGACTGTGGGTCCCAGCCTCCCGTTTTTGGCTGACCCCAACCCTCTATTCCGGAGCAGGGGGTCTCGGAGGGCAGCGCGGGGCGGGTCCGGAGGTCACTCGGTGCCCCGTGTCACCGGCCGGGGCGTGACCCCCGGCCGAGCCCCCCGCCCCGCTCGGGAGGCTGTTGGGGGATGCTCCGGGTGCCTTCCCGGCCGGAGCCGCGGCCGTGCCGGTCCCGGCGAGCCCCTCACGGGCACGGCAGTCTCAGCTCGGTGCCCACCCGTGTCAGCGCGGAGCTGAGCCGTGGTGGCACACCGCGATTATCCCCGATTTGAGCAGTCACGGGGGGAATCCAGGGAATGGCAGCGCTGCTGTTCCCGCGCCGGGAACGGGAACGGAGCGGCACCGGAGCCGCGAGTCGGGCTGGCACGGGGGTCCCGTGTCCCCCAGGACAGCCAGGCCTCGCTGCACCGCGTGCTGAAGCCCCCCGCGTGTGAGCCCACCCTGCAGGGAGCCCGCTCCAGGCTTGGCAACAGGGATGCTGTGGCACGCGTGGCACGGACACCACTGCCGGGGTGTCCTATCCAGCCACGGCGAGGGTGGCAAGAGGGACTGCCCGTCCTGGAGTTGCCCCCCACACACACCCCCTGACCCCCCGAGAAGGGGCTCTGCGGGGGAGGCGGGTCCTGCACATCGGAAACATCCCCGGGGGATCTGCCCCGCTGGCGTCTCCCACCTGCTTAGGACACGTTTTGGTACCTAATGAATGGTATTTTTTCTCCAGTGTTTATGATGTTTTCTCATGTTTATGGTGTTTTTTTAATGTTTGTGATGGTTTTCCACGCGTGTTCATTCCAGGGCTTGTCTCCTGCACTCAGAGCCCGCTGCAGCTTTCAGCCCCTTTTCCAGCGTGTCCCGGGGGTCCCACTCCAGGATTTCAACCCCTGCCAAAGTCTCCCAGTCCACGAGGAATTCTCTTCCCTCTCGCTCCCCACCTGCCACAACCTTCCACCATTTCTGATTTCCCTGCTCCAGCCTTTCTGATGATAATTTATTCATTTTGTTTTGTTTTGTTTTCTCTCATTTTTTAGCACTTTGCCCCATGACTCGGGGCAGGAAATCCACTCCTCTGCCAAAAACCTGGAGAAGCAGCTTCATTGTCCTGACTTATGGAAAGTCGGGGCCCGCTCCTCACCGTGTCACTGTCCTGGCTTGCACCTGCATCCCCCCCAGAGATGATGCTCCTGCTCCTGCTCCAGAGAGGGCACCTTCAAGCCCCCAAATTGCCTCTTTTACCCAGAATATTTTAATAATTGCCGGTTTGATGGAAAAGAAAGTGAAAATGTAGGTGGGAACGCGGGATAAAGTGGGTTTTCTTGGTCGGCTGAGTCATCGGGGCTTTTAACTTCCACGTGTGCTTTCTGGAGGAGAAAAGAACAGGATTTTTCCAGCCCTCCCGGTGCTGCATGAGGAACAGGGTCACCTAGTGCAGGGAGAAAGCCCAGAAAGGTGCAAAACAGCCTCAGCGTGTGGAAAGGAGAGACAGAGAGGAGGGAAATCATGGAATCATGGAATGGGTTGGGTGGAAAGGGATCTTAAAGCCCATCCAGTTCCACCCCTTGTCATGGGCAAGGTCACCTTCCGCTATTCCAGGTTGCTCCAAGCCCCGTCCAACCTGGCCTTGGACGCTTTAAGGGACGGGAACCTCCTCCTGGAAATGCCAAGTGGCTTTAGGTCCCCCACGGCCCAGCCATCCCCAGGGAGCTGCCCTTCACCCCTCTGCCCTCCCAGAAGTGTCCTGGGACCAGCACGGAGCTGGTTCTGAGCCGGGAAGGGGCCAGCGATTGGGGTGTGGAGCGCTGAACGACGTGGTCTACTCTGGGCAGGGATAGGGATTCCTAAAGCTGGTTATCCCGAAATCCATCCCCGTGCAAGCCTTGTGACAACACTGATGGTGTCCTGGGGCTTCATTCCTTCCACCTGGAGGCAGATGTTCCATGTGGGATGGGGGCTCTGCCGCTCCTGCTCCCACTCCCACCAGGGGCACCCAGGGAATGAGGCCACTTGCTGAATTGTGGCCGAAATGCCGGGTACGAGCAGTGGCACTTTGGTGGCTGCTGAAAACCTCCTGGAATAATGGCATTCCCTGTTCTGCTCCTTCCATGTCCCTGTTCCACTTCTTCCATTGCCCTGTTCCACTCCCTCCCATGCCCCTGCGTGTCCCTATTGCCTTCCATGTCCCAGTTCCCTGCATGTCCCTGTTCCCTCCATGTCCCGTTCCCAAGCAGTGCTGCTGTCACTCCTGAAGACTGTGAGCTCTGCCAGATCCTGCCCGACCCTCTCCTGCCCTGCCCAGCCTGTCCCAGCCCCGGCGCTCCCACCACCGATAAAATTCCTGCAAAAACTCTTCCCTGAGGAGTGGGGGAAAGTGGATGGAAGCATGAAATGCAGCCGGCACGGTGGGTCCCGGCACTTCCCTCCACCTTTCCATAGCTCTGTCTCCATCTCTGCATGTCTCCAAGTCTGTCTCCAGCTCTCCATTTTTCCCCCTCTCCGTCACTCCACGTTTTCATATCTTCACGTCCCCATCTCTACATGTGTCCATAGTTCTGTCTCCAGTTCTCCGTGTCTCCACCTCTCCACTTCACTGTCTCTCCATCTCTGTCTTTCCACCTCTACATGTCTCCATGGCTACATCTCTCCACCTCTCCGTGTTTCTCTACATATCTTCATCTCTGCGTCGTTCCTCCTCTCCACATCTCTGTGTCTCCATTTTTCCACTTCCCCATCTTTCCACTTCCCCGCCTTTCCACCTCCCCTCCTCTCCACCTCTCCACAGCTTCACCTCTCCACATCTCCACATCTGTCACCCCCTCTCCTCCTCTCTCTCTCTCCGTGTCTCCACATCTCCAGCTCCCCATTTCACCATCTCCATCTGTGTCTTTCCACCCCTCCAACTCTCCACAACTCCAACTTTTCTCCATCTTTCCACTTCTCCTCGTCTCCATAAACCCACCTCTCCACGTCTCCACATCTCCACATCTCCTCTTCCCACTTCTCCACCTCCCTCTTCGTGACTCCATCTCTCCACGTCTCCACCTCTCCATTTCATCATCCCTCGGTCTCTTCATCTCTCCGTGTCTGCATCTCTCCATCCCTCCATCTACCTCTCCGCTTCTCCCTGTCTCCAAGCCTTCACGTCTCCCCCTTTCCCATCTTTCCCCGTTCCCGTCTCTCCCGCTCCTCTCTCCGCTCCTTTCCCCGATCCCCGTGGCCGCCGCAGCCGCCGCGCCTGAGCCGCGCCGCGGACGCACCGCCCGGTGCCCGTCTGTCCCCCCCTCTCCACGGGCCCGCGGGGCTCCCCCGGCCTCCCCGAGCTCCGGGCGGCTCCGGGGGCTCCTCCCGCCGCCGGGGCCCCGGCGGGGCGGTCCGGGAGCGGGGAGGTGCCGGCCGGGGCTGTGCGCTCCGGAGCCCGGCGCACCCGATCGCAGCGCGCACAGCCCCGGGGGGAGCCCCGCCGCTCCCGGGCCGGCCTGCAGCCCCCCGCGCCGCCCCCCGCCCGTGCCCGGGGGCAGCGGGGCAGCGGCAGCCCCGGCCCCCCCCCGCCCGGTGCGGAGCCCCGCGCCGCGCTCCCCCTCGCCGCGTTACGCGCGGGGCTTCCCCGGCCCGGGGGGCTCCGCGGGACTCCCCGACGTGTCCCTGTTCACGGGAGGGGGGCTCGGGCGGCCGCGACGGAGCGGGGGGCTTCCGGCCCTGGATGCCGGCGCTCCCCGAGCCACCGGGAGCGCGACCCCCGCCCCGGGGTAGGGAACAGCCGGGGCGCCTCGGGGGTGGCGAGGGGGCGGCGCAGAGGCTCCCCGGGGGCCGGGGCCGGGCCCGGGCCCCGCAGGGCTGTGGTTAATGTGTAATTCGGAGCATATGGTATTTTCCAAAGGCGGGCAGTTGTGCGGCTCGCGGGGGCCGGGGCCGAGGTGCTAATAACGCTGGATGACTCGCGGGGCCGGGCGCGGAGGGCCGCGGTGATGGGCTCCTCGCTGGCTAATATTTGCTCTTCAAATATTTTACTTGAAAGGTTTACAACGTTGGTGGTTTTTTTTTAATCTTCCAAGAAGGGGCCATCTGTGCCGATCCCTCGGCTGGAACACCGGGAGTCCCCGCCGCGGCACATCCACCACCCCGGGGGCCGCCTTCTATTTGTTCAACACCCAAAATAAATTCAGCCAATGTAATAAAAGCGAAGCTGGATTTATGATTGAACCCCATATGTCCCTGTTTGCTTTGCGGGAGAGACGCGGGAGTGAAGCCCCCTCGAGGGGCTCCGTCGGGGGATGCCCAGGGACGCTCCGGGGCGCCGGGGTGCGGCGGGGCCGTGCTGTCCATCGGCCGCTGGTGCTGAAATACCGGCGCTCACGCCGGGACCGACTCTGTGCCCGGCCCGGGGGGGCCCAGAACCACCCCCCAGCCCCGACCGAGCCCCCCGGTCAGGGGCCTGCTGGGCGCGGTCACCATCGGGCCGCCCCTTCCTCTCCATCCTCCTCTTCCTCCTGCCCCGTGACATCACGGCCCCTCTCCCTCGGCAGCAGCCCCGCGCCGCACCCGCACTCAGCACCCGCCCGGCTCTGAGGACTATCCGGTTCAGCTCCATCCAGGCTCCACAGGTACCTCCTTGCGCCGCCCGGGCATTCCCGCTCTCCTGTGCATCAACACCTGCGTGGGTGCGTGCCAAAGTCGTAGGAATTCCCCGTGGGAATTGGTGGTGAAGATGCATTAACGTGGAGAAGCTTTGGGAGACCTCTGGGAATTCCCAGCTCTGGTCCAGCCTCGCCGCTGCCCGCTGATTCCTGGTCCCCGTGCTGCACAGAGACCAGGCTCAGCCCGGCCCTGGGATCCCTCGGCACGACCCGAGAGGGACCGAGGGCTCACAGCTCGGCTTTCCCAGTGCTCCCACTGCTCCATGGGGAAAGAAATCCCCCTGTCACCTCCCGGCCCAGCACGGGCCAAACCAGGGATTGCCGGGGGGGCTGCGCTGGCCCCGAGGGGACACGTGTCCTGCTGGTACCATTTGTTCCTTCCTTCCCTCCCTGGAACAGCCTCCTGTGCTTTGCTCCAGGGTGATCCATCCCCTTCCTGAGCAGCACCTCACCTTTGCTGCTCACCTGCAGGAAATCTGTGGAGTCGTCCCCGCTGTTGGATTTATTCTGATTTTCCTGATTTTCGTGCTGAGGGTTGGTGTCTCCAAGAACACCCCCAGGCTGTGCAGGGGAGCGGTGCAGTGGGACTTGGGGGCTGCAGCAGGAAAAGCCTCGCACTGGGGGTGTCCAGGGGTTTTCAGGGCGTTCCAGTGGAAATTCCAGATGAACCAGAGGTGCCAGCCGGGCTGGTCGGGCTCTGGCAAGGCCGTGATGGCAGCAGCAGCTCAGGCTTGTGTCACCTCTGTGGCTCCGCTGCTGCTCAGCAAGGGAGTCCAAGGGAGCGCTGCAGGCGCCGGGAACGGCTCAGCCACTCGAGTTCCCTTCCGTAGTTGGCGCAGACAGCATTCCCAGGGTCTCCCCAGCCTCTCCAGAACACTGTGAGCTCTTTGATCCCCTGTACCCCGAGCGCAATGACTTCCCAAGCTGCCCTCACGCGTTTCCATCCTCTGCTCCCTATTCCTGTCCTGTCCCCCAACTTCTCACAGAGGGAAGGTGGTCGAGCCCTGGACACCGGCACCGATTCATCTCTCGGCAGCCGCCGTCTCCTCTTGGCGATTCCCAGGCACCCACAGCCCCTGAAGCCTCACCGAGATGCAACACCGAGGTGAGGGACGCGGCGGCTCCGGGTGCGGGGTCCTGGCATTCCCGGCCCTGGGGGAATCTGGGACGTGCCCTGACAAACGTATCCAGCCTCCAGCTGATTTACCTGTGGCTCCACAGAGTCTTCCCGACCCCCTGATGCCGTCCAGCCCACCCCAGTCGGTCAACCCCCTTTTGCAGCTGCCCTCCCCAAACCCTCCCCGCGCTCTTCCATGGGATATTTTCCTGCTGGTACCGCCTGGGCTGGTTCTCCCGTTCCCTGCCTGCTCCTGCCGCGCGCTGCCTGCACCCACCACCCAGCAAACATTCCCACATCCCTCCAAGCCCCAACTCCTGCTGTTCACCTCCCTCTAAACCCCTCCACGGGCTCCCAACGCCACTGCTCTCGGTCCCGTCCCCGGGGCTCTCCTGGGAAGCGGGGGAGGGAAGGACAGGCAGCTCCCCCCTCTCACCCAGCCCTGTCCCCCTCCCCAGGGCCCAGCGGAGTGAACCAGCTAGGGGGGCTCTTCCTGAACGGCCGCCCCCTCCCCACCTGCAAGAGGCAGAGGATCATCGAGCTGGCGGCGAGCGGGCTCCGCTCCTCCGACATCTCCCGCAGCCTCAAGGTGCGTCTGATCGGGGGGCGGGGGGTGTGGGGTGCGGCCCGTGGTGTTCTCCTTCTCCCCCAAATCCCGCTGAGCTCTCCCGCCCCATCCACAGGTGTCCAACGGCTGCGTCAGCAAGATCCTGGGCCGCTACTACCGCACGGGGGCCGTGGGGCCCAAGGCGGCGGGGGGCAGCAAGCCCCGAATGGCCACCCCCGAGGTGGTGGCCAGGATCGCGCGGCTGAAGCTGGAGCGGCCCGGGCTCTTCGCGTGGGAAATCCGCCGGCAGCTGCACCGCGAGGGGACCTGCAGCGGCATCGGCACCCCCAGCGTGAGTCCCGCGGGGGCTGCGGGGGTACCGGGTCAGGCACGGCCGGGGCGGGGGGTCCGACCCCACGGCTGGGGGCTGGAGGCGGGGGGGGGAAGGTCTGGGGGCCGTGGGAAGGACGTCCCGGGAAGGGCTCTGGGGGACGGTAAGGGATTGAGAACGGGAAGGACGTGCAGGGGTAGTGGAAAGGGTGAGCAGGGAAGGGCTCAGAGCCAGGGGAAGGGCTCAGGGCAGTGGGAGAGACTCACAGGGAAGGGCTCGGGAGGAAGGAAGAGCTCGGAGCAGTGGGAAGGACTCAGGAATGGGAAGAATAACGTGGGAAGGGGCTCGGTGCTGGGTCACGCGGAGCACTCAGGGAAGGGAAGGCAAATTAATCCGTCCCAGTTAAAGCAGAGCCCCGACGGCCACCCCGCAAGCCCGGCTGCCACCTCGGGCATCGGGACACCGTGGTGGCCCTGTGAAAAGTGTCCCTGCTCGACAGTGTTCCCACCTGCCCCTACCCCTCGGGGATCCTTGCCCCCCTGCCCGGGCACATCCCCTCTCCCCCTGCCCAGGTCTCCTCCATCAACCGGGTGCTGAGGAACCTGCACAGTGACCTGAGGCTGGCGGCCGAGCCCCGGGACCCGCGGCCACGGGGTGAGCCTTGATGAGGCACCCCCAAAGCAGGGAGGCTCGGGACCAGCCCTGACCCTTCCCAACCCCTCCAGGGAGCCCCCAGGGCCGGGTCCCCCCCCCCATCTTCTGCCTTTGTGTTCCCTCAGTGACCCCTCTGGCCGTCCCGCAGTCCCCCGCTTGCCACTCGCCCCCCGCAGCCGGCGCCGCCGCCCCCCCGGGGGCTCAGCACCCTCCGCAGGGCTCCGAATCCGGCCGGAGGCTCCCGCCGGGCCCCCGGCACAGGAGCAGGACCGTGTTCTCCCGGCAGCAGTCGGAGGCGCTGGAGAAAGGTGCGTTTCCCACGGGATGCCGGCTCCGCGCCCGAATGGAGCAGCGCCATTCCCGATGGAAGGAGTTACCAGTTTTTGGATGGGCTCGTGCCCCTCTGAGGGCACGACCATCGCTGCCGTGCCCCGAACCACCCCAAAATGTGGAAACACTGGGGTCTGGCTGCAGCCACACATCTGACATCTCCTGCCGAGGTGCCGGAGGGTGTTACCCCAAACAGGTTCATGTTTTCCCAATCCCCCTGGCAGAGTTCCAGCTGGGACAGTACCCGGACACCGTCACCCGGGAGAGACTGGCCGCGGCCACCCAGCTCCCGGACACGACCATCAGGGTAAGGGGGGACCCGCCTCGCTCCGGGTGGGACCCACTGCGTCCTGGTGACAGAACGGCTCGGCCAGAGCGCCGGGCCCGGGGCTGCCAGCTCGGGGGGGACAGGGATCCCTCCTGGCTTCGGGAACATCTCCAAACTGTGTCACCACTGCTGGCGGTGGCAGGGGTGGGGATGGGCTCAGGGTGGTGGGAGTGACCCCCGAGGGCTGGGTTTGTCGCCAGCTCGAGGTTCTCTGCCCGCGGAGCAGGGCAGGTCTCACCTCGGGATCGGGGCCGTGGGACCCTCGGAATGTCCCCGGGCAGTGTCCCTGTGCCTGTCAGCTCTGTGACAGCCAACTCATTCCCGGGCTGCAGAGCCCCTGCCGGGCTGTGTCTGTCTCAGCGCGGCCACCGCTCCTCTCCCGCCTCTGCTCGCGCCGGCTCTGCCCCGCCACGGGGCCAGCATAGCCTTGGGGACACTGCTGGACCCCAGGGTGGTGCCACCGGGCAGGACAGCTCAGCACTGCGGAGCCGTGGCACACTCCGTGACACGCTCCGTGGCGCAGCCCATGGCACACTCCATGGTACACCTGGCACTCTCCATGGCACTCTCCATGGCACACCCCCCTCATACACTCCCCCCGGGCGCCCTCACCAGCTCCAGACCGACATCCCCGTGCTGCTGCCAAACATCCCCCTTCCCCTCCAGCCCCAGAGCCCTGCCGGCCCCTGGGTGCCCCGGCAGCACCAGCGGCCTCTGCGTGTGCTGTCCGTGCGGGCTCCCCGCCCCACGGCAAAGCACGCACACGTGTGTCCCGTGTCCTGCGCCGGGGAAACACCCAGAGCCCGGTGTGTGTGATTGTGGTTCAGTGAGGTGGGGGAGATGAAGGATCAAACCCCTTCCTCTGCCCGTGTCCATGCCCGGGGTGTGACGAGCCCTTGTCCCGGGGTGCAGAGCTGTGCCAAGGAGCTGGAGCGCTCCCGTGCCGCTGGAAGGGGGGCGGCAGCCTCACCTCCTGCCCCCTTCCCCAGGTCTGGTTCTCGAACCGCCGAGCCAAGAGCCGAAGGGAGGCCAAGCAGCAGCTGGAGGCTGGCGGGACAGGTGACAGCCCGGAGCAGCGGGGAGGGGACCCCCGAGGAGGGGGTGGGGTTCAGGGACCCTCCAGGGAGGGAGCGCGGCTGAAATTTGGCGCTGGGACTGCTGAGGTT